AGTGCAAGTACAACATGCAAACTGCTCTGCTGAGATTGGGAAGGGACGCACCTCAAGTCAGCACCACCAGATGAAAAGCTCAGAGAGTTTCTGTTCATTTTTAGAGCCTGAGTGATGGCTCATGTACAAGCAACTGTGAAGTTTCACAGACACAAAAAGGTATATTGCTGATTTCCTCATAGCACAGATTGCTAAACCTGCCAAATGAGCAGCAATCTAACACAGCTCTAAGAGCTTCCATTAATACTGGTGAGGATCTGGCTTCTCATTTGTAATAGCAGGACTAATTAAACTGGAATTTTGTTACTCTGCCTATTCTAACTGGGTACCAAGTGACTGATGATAATTTGTAAAGACCATCCATTCCTAAAGAAAATACAAACATACTTACATGAAGCAACCCATGCCATTTTATTTTAGTATACTTTACTTTTAATAGAGACTTCCATTTTTACCCATGTATCACTCATTTAGGAGCTAGACTTTCTCAAATAATAAGCAATGCAGATCAGCCACTGCACACAGTCCATAAAAAAATTCTGAAAACACACAAATACCAGAAGTGCGAGATACATGGGAGATGTTTTGGTATCAACAGTCCTGTAAGAAATACGAACTAGTACTGCACAGAACTGTGAGAGTTAAAACAGGATACAGTATTCCAGATGGTCTAAAAGCTGCATTAGTGCCACTCAACAGATTCTTCTCTGAACTGTCGTTTTTAACCTCCCTACAATACAGGGGTAGGTAGAACTCTATAGAGAAAATTAAAACACATGGAATAACCTCTGGTAAAAACAGTTATACAAATGCTCCATCTAAAACAATAAGTAATTTTATTTTGGAATAATTACTCCGTTGGAATTATTACACACAGGAAGCTCTTCAGAGCAAGATCTGTCCTATAATAAACTTGGAATAATATCTTCTACCACAAACATATGCTAGTAAATAGTCCCACAAATATTATTAATAGGCATATAGCACTAATTAAAGATTAGAAGTTGAATTCTACTCACATCACCTAGCAAGAGGAAAAAACAAGTCAAATATCTACTTAAGATTGCCCATATCATCTTATGTAGTTCTACATTCAAACTTTCTTCTTAGAAAAGAAAAAAAATCAACCCCTTTTTCTCAATCCAACTAGCTGTATAAAAAGGGAAATAGCCAAAATACCAATCTTGCACATGAACACAGATTTAATTCTACCACCTGAAGCAAACTAATCACTGGCTTCCAAAGAGTTTGAAAGGCCAAACTTAAAAGACAGATTATAAACCAACAGAACTGTAAACTACTGAATGTCTTAAAAATGTTCATTTTTAAAAAGGGCAAATTGTTGTACATGTCTCCCTGCACCCTTTTAACAATTGCAATATTATTTCAAGAAATCTCAAGGGATGTATTTGAAAAGTTTCTCCCTTAGACTATACAAGAATCTTTAATGTTGTTTCATCTGTTCTCATGAATCTGAGACAATCCACCAAAACATAAGTGCAGTGAAAGAAACTGCATTTCAGTAGAAGAATCAATTGTGATAATTGAAAACGTGATTTTTTGTAACACTGACACAAAATTAAATATAGAAAAATGTAAATTTTCTTCTTTGAGTGCAATGTATTCTGCCTTGCTGCTAATAACCCTTACCTAGAAAAGTAAATGAAAACACCACACCTTCATATTTGTCCTGTGCCTAAAAGCTCATCAGCCTCTGCTGAATGCTACAGTATGAAGTAAAACATCCTCAAAAGCCATCCATAGATCTGTTCATGTTTTCAAGTAATAGTCCATGGGCTAAAACAAAATGATGTGTTCCTCCAGATCAGTCTGTACAAACTTTTTTATTATATTCAACAGGAGATGCAGCCAGGGCCTCAATCCCACTCCAGCCCAGCCCAGCACAACATTGCAGTAGAATTCCTTCTCTGGCTCCTGGTCCACATCTTACAAATTATTAAGAATCTTGATCTAGGTGCTGCTGGTTAAGCCCCACCAACATCCATGAGAATATGCACAGAAAATGTCTGCTCCACCTTGTACTTCATGTGACCAGAAATCCAATTCCCTCCCAGGATTTGACCCTAAAACACAGCCTCACTAACCTAACACTGGGTCTCCCAGAGAAACGCTGGATGCCTGATGAAAAACACCATTCTCTTGTCACGTAAATGATCCAACATGCAGATGTTGAAAGGAAGCCACTCTATATACTTCTTGTAAGTGGTTTTCGGACCTTGCCCTACAAGCCAAGCTAAAACCCAGAATCTTTTTCCAGCCACTGTGATTACTACCATGAAATTCATATGACAATTCACAAAATGACAATGTAGTAAAGTCCTTTCCAATGTAAAGGGAAGAACAATATCTGATAATTGTTTCACTTTGGATTACACTTAAAAACTGTTTGTTAAGGATAAATTTCTACAAGAAAACTCTCTACAAACAAGGTAAGATTTCTGGAGAAGATGCACCCTGGCAGATGTGTTGTTCTTATAAGGAATGTGATGCTCCTCTCAAAGCTGCTTAAACTTGATTTTATTTCAGGTCTGCAACTAAATTTTTTTTGTAAATAGATTTAGGCTGTCAATTTCCAGGCATGCTGTGCCATCAGCATGTAGAGACTGCTGTGACAAACGTGGAGGCTGCAGCAGCAAATTTTATTATAAACTGGTAATTGAATTGAACAGGTTTACATTTGAATAGATTTACTGCAGCATGATCTCTGACATGCTGCATGGGACTGAAATCCTTGTCTGTACATAAAGAAACACTTGAGATACAGCAAGAATAATTTCAGCTTATTTTAAGTCCATGCTAATCAATAAATTTTTACCACTTTACACACAAAAGAAGTCAGTATATTATCTTCCTTAATTCTGTACATAAAAGATGTGGTCCAAGTCAAAAAGTCATCTCCAGAGTTTCCCATAGGTTAAAACAACAACACCCATCTCTAAAACTACCTTTCAACAAGAAAAAAAAATTACTAAAAGTACAGTCTTACAAATGTGCTGTGAATCAGTATGATTTAAAAAGTGGCCACTAAAGGGGGAAAAAAAGTAAAATGCCCTTATAGGTTCTTGCAGGTTGTTATAATAGGTGGTAGATAAACAGCACTGTCTTTTCAAAGTAATTAGTTATTTTGCCATTTAGAAAAAGATATGTACTTTTAGGGTAGAAAATTCATGCAATTCTTATTAAAAAAATTTGTGGGAATGATTTGAATCCATGGACAATGAACATTCAAACAAAAAAATTACTACTCACAATGTACATCTGTATTATCTAACTCAATTATCTCAGTTAACAAAATTGTATGCAGAAACAGTAAATCTGCACACAAATTTGCTGAGATAATTACTTATTTGTAGAGGAGACAACTTCCTCTTTCAGTCCCAGAAGCTGCACACAGCCTAGATTTTTTTAATATATGTTAATGGATGCACAATAGTGCCCTCAAAATTTAGAGGAAAAGGATTAAATCAATTCACCTGTATGTGCTCTTGGTAGCACTGTTTCATTTTCAAAGAAGTTGGTCCATGTATCCGTATATTAGGTAAGTAGTGATACAGTGTTTTTTCTTAATAAAAAAGATACTAAGAAGCACAGTCCCTTTCAAAATGTGCCACCCCCAGCCATCCCTTTCTTTTTACATTTTATCTAAGCTTCATAATTTCACTTTCAGGTACTGCTCCTAGAGGTCAGTTATACGAGCATGTTGGCAAGAAAGAACTCTCCTATCACCACTGAAGAGAGGGTCAAATCCTGCCGTTCTTACTGAGGCAAAATCTCCATCAAATCTGACAGGAGTTTTGCTCAAGTAAGACTAAGGACAGCAGGATTTGGCTCACAGGATCATAGCATCTGCCAAAGCAGTAGCACAGAACAAGGTTTATTCTTAGTAAGTATAATCCAATAAGAATATGTCTGTAGGTACGTGATAGACCTGATTTGCCCATCATCTCACCACTGGTCTATGCTGTTTCTTGGATTTTTACCCCAACAGCTGCATACTTACCCTGTTTTGCATTACCACCAACTCATTTGCAAAAATCAGTTACTAAAACTGAGTTTCCAAGCACTGACCAAGCAAAATTACATAGGGTTGTTTTGAAGTGGTTGCTTCACACAAAGTACTCTCCACTGGATACAATACTTAAGAGAACACTATGCTGATTATATTTCAAATGTTTATCTAGTTCAGAAGTCCATGGCATCTTTCTTGGTGGTGACAGTGCCCTAAAATAACAATGCATGTAATACATGCACTTACAAGTGTATTCTTGCATATACATTAACAGCAATGTAAGTGCATAGCAGGCAACCAAGATTTGAGGAATCACTTCTTTGTATAACATAGATGAAGCAGGTTACAGGTAGGACAGCACCATTTCTTGAGCATATTTTCTTGCATTCAGTATCTTCAAAATATAGTTGATGAATTTAAACATTCAATATATACTTACAGTGAGGGGCAGAGGTCCTCAGACGCTTTTAGGGAAAAAAAAAAGGGGGGTAGATTCTCCTCTTCTGCATCCCATATTTTGCTCCAGTGTAGTTACAGTAACTTCAGTACACACACAAAACACTTATACTTGTTTAATTTAGAAGTAACCCTTTCATTTTTCCTGATGGAATGAAGACTAAATAAATGCACAGTATGTGTTTTGGTTTTCTGCCAGAACAGGGACAGAGTAACAGTGGATAAAGAATGGAGGAAATAAATCTTTGAGAATTCTGATGGTTATTCTATCAGTTACTTACTGAAGGAGATTAAATGCTGAGGTGCATTTTGCTGTACTACACAAGATGATGAACTCTATGTGATAAAGCATGATTTGATAGCTTAGAAGCAGATGTCAGAAAGAGCAAGTACATATGAAAATAGCCTTTGCAATAACTGATTAGAACACTCACCAGTCTCTCTTCTTTCCTGACTGCCCTACAGTTGTAGCAAGTGTTTGCAGAGAGATACAGATTGAGGTGGTCAGTCTTACCTTCTTTCAGCATGCCAACTTTTAGACACTTCATGAAGCGGCAGGCTTGGCAGGACTTGCGTCTGCGCTTTGTGATTTCACATTCATTCGTTGCTGGGCAGCTGTACTCTATGTTACCTGTGATGGAACAGGGGAAGAGGTGTTCAGAGTCACTGACTAACCAGCACAACACATAGACAAAAGTACTCATACAATTGCCATTGTATTTCACTTTGGAATGCACCAAGAGTAAGCAGTGCTACAGAAGGGAAACGCCTCTCAAGTAAAAATAATTAGCTGAGTTAAAAGATGAAGTTTTTTCACCCCTTTTTTTTTTTTTTTAATCTTGATGTCTCTATAAAAAATATATATACAAAACCACAATTAATGTGAGTCTGTGTCTCACTCCAAATATTGTCCCTAGCAAAATCCTTCATGTATGTTATTCCTGCGGATAGAAGAAAGAATTTTTGTCATTTATTTTCTGTACCAAGCCACAGGCTCAGGCTCCTTCTCTGAGTACTCTTTATTTTCCTTTTTAGCTAATTTCATTAGTCTCTCTTGGCCTAGAATTCAAAAGGAGGACTGCTTTACTGCATAATCAACTATAACAGGTACTATGGACTTTCACCTTTCTTCTTCCACTACAGCTGGCACAGAGCATCAGGCAGGGCTCACCAGGACTGTTACCACCACATCTAGCATGTTCTACAGGTGCCAACCCAGGCCTCTGCTCCAGGACATCTCCTCTTCTCTCCATACTTTCAACCAAGTTCTTGTACTAAGAGGTATCAGGAACAGGATCAATCCTGCCAAGCTGTCACAATAACAAAAACTGGAAGAGATGCTTGCCTTTGTGCCCCTGCTTCTCCCTTAAAGCCTACACCAAGCTTGAGCCTTAAATGTGAGCCCTCCTGAGCAAAGCAGTCTCTTTTTTAATTTGTTGCTACTGCTTAATTCATGCTATTTCTCCTCAGGGAAAAAAAAAAAAAAAAAAAAAAGAACATAGAAGCCTGCAAATGAATGAGTAAAATACATGAGTAGTTTACTTCTTTAAAATCGCATCTTTGGGTATCCAAGTCCAAATGCGAGAACATCTGTTCTCTTTTGCCCTAGTATCACTGCACTTTTCGTAAAACAGCTTAGCTCAGCTTATTCCTCTGCCCAGCCATGCATCCTATAGCCCAACACTACATCCACTGTGACAGACTTTGCAACAGCCAGGAGTTACACTGGAAACCGACTTTTAAATAAAGCATCTTCCCAATAAGTCTGTCACATCTTGCTTTAAAGGTATTTCTTTATTTTCTAACCCCTTCCCCCTGTGATAAAGTGCATTAGTATCTTAATGAAAATGCATTCTGTTTATTGCCCTCTTGGGAAGCAAGAGGTCATCACACCAAATGCATAAATTGTCATCAGAGACAGTCCGAGCATAATCGCAATTTTGCTGCTCCATGTTTGCTGCACTCGAGGTCCATCAAAGTCCCCTGAAACATGCACAGGTTCTAATAATTAGCATAGAGTCTGCCTGGGACCACAGCATTGATGAAATATTTCAGAGTTAATCACACTCTGTAAACACTGATTTATATTGACTACCTTTCTCCAGACTGATGTCTCCTCATTAAATATCACATTAGTGGATTGCAGGATTGCACAAAGACTCAAATGCTCAGCAACTGCTAATTCAACAGGAAGTAATACTTAAACCACTTACATCTATTGAAAATTGGTTAAGTATTTATGATAAAGGAGATCTGCATGGCAAAATGTGCACTCTGCCAACACAACCAGCACATTTGGCACAACCTTTTCAGGCGTGTGCTGGCTTTCTTCCCCCTGGACATTGCTGCATGAGTGGGTTAGCAATGCTGGTGAGTAAAACAGATCTTGGTATGCCTGCATGCTAATGACAACAGTCAAAGCAATTTAGTCCTTTTCCCCTTTCTTAGCTGCTGTGGAGAAAGCAATTTAAGAAACTGAAGGATATGGTGGGTAGGGAATTCAGCACAACAGTCCCTGCAAAAGGTCTTTCCAATACTTATTAGAAAAGTTAGGAAATAACACTTTTGAAATGATAGGTAGAAAATGATGGTAAGGATAAGCTTAAAAAAGGATTCACATTATCCTCTCCTTCTAACAAGGCATTCTTAGAAAGGTACAACCATTACACAGGAAGACCTTCAAAGCTTTCATAAATTGTATCTAATGAACTTCATTATACTACAGAAATAAATGTATTACCGTCCCTATCTTAAAAAAAAAAAAAAGAAACAGGAAATCAGAAATGCTTTGCACAAGATCGAAGATACCTTTGCACAAGGTCAGAAACAATCTTGATCAAAACACAAGATCAAGATTATAACAGAGAACTTCAGGAAGCAATGCTCTCTACCAGGGCAGGTGGAACATTTTCACTGTATGAAGAGATTCTGTCCCAAGATACAAAGGTACAGGTGCCAACACCAAGAAGTAGCATTTAGAACCAGAAAAATAAATGCAAGAGTTCATTTCATTATGCAGACACTTCCAATCCATACCCTGACATTTCACATTTCTGCAAACTATGCAACAGTATGCAGCAGGCACAGTGTAACTTACTTTTCCTGCAAATTCTTGACACCTAAAGAATGCTAAAAGGAGCTATTATTCTAGTCACTTGGATTCTAGGATTTTAGCTTACAGGGGGAATCACCTTTCAATTTAAACCTCTTTTCTTTAATGACTTGTATTTTACAGCTGACACTCAATATTCATTTTTGGTGTTGTAAAATGAACTTGGAAAATGCTGCATAGAATTCCTCCAATGAGCTCAGCAAAGTTACAAGAATAGAAACAAAGATCCACATCTTACCAATGACCATAGTTGGTTCCTATAAAGTGTTCCAGCATTTTAGAATGTGGCTACATTGCAGTAAGGGTTCAAAGAATTAACATTTTGTCTCCAGTGCATGTGTAGATGCAGTGGCTATCTATATCAGACTAAAATGCATTTTACCTAGCACTCCAAGTATTAGTGGATTTACTTTTGTTAAAAATCTGAATTCACTGCACATTCCAGGTAATTAGAGCTTTCATAATTTCTTATTTACTTCTAGATATGAATTTCCATTCAAGATACTCAGATCTGCATTTTATTTCAGAGGAAGATCCAGAAGGAATCTCTACCAATTCCTTACCTACTTCAAGATGCTGGAGGCTGAAACTGAGCAGCTAGGAAGAGTAAAAGCTGAGTTTGCCCAGTCCTGTCAACAGCTGGAGAGGAAGTTGTGTTATATAGTGAACAAAATCAACATGGCAGCTCGGGGTCTTTACACTGGGCTGACAAGAGTGATTGAGTGATTTATAATATCTCCTGGCTAGTTTTCAGAAAGAACTGGGCTCTGATTACTTATTTCAGAGTCTTTTGTACAATTAGTTTGCAGGCAATATAATTTTCTCACTTACTCCTTAATAGAATTGTGCAGCTAGCTGGCTGATAGAATAACAGCATATATGTAAACCTCCTGCCTAAAGTGCCAGGGGATAATTTGTATATTCCTTTCAGTAGCATAATGGACTTTTACAGTTTGGCAGTTAAAGGGCTGAGTAATATAAATTAGTATGACGCTTGAAAATAAAAATATATGTCAAATCTTCACTCCCCAAAGACATTTCGCTGTGCTAGAATAATATAATGGGATTTATACCAGCCTAAGCCCCTTTTCTTTCTTCCTGTACTGAGGAGTGTTTATTTAAAACCAGATCCTTTTTCTACTGATTTGTTAAATTTTATTAGCTCAGCTGCAGGATGTGAAAATACTTCTAAAACACTGTGCTTACCAAGAGCAGTTGAAAAACTGAAAACATGATGCCATTTGATCCTGAGGCAGCAGGTGAGGTGCTAAAACTTACCCCATATACCCAGCTCTCCAATTTTACATGCTTCAGACAGTCACATCTTCACACACAGCTCAGGACAAATGGGCCGAGGTACCATTTCTTTTTACCTCACAGATGAGGTTTGGATGTTACTTGAATGAGGAGTGAAGAAAGAACAATTTTTGTGGTACAGGAACTTACTTGATACCTTTACAAGTCAGGCAACTGAGTGGATTTAGCCAAGATTCTCAAAACCATTTTGGCCATTTCTTGCACAGAATTGACAGTGACACTAAAGGTGACAAGGACAAGCAAGAACCACAGCTAAGAAGATGTCATTGAAAACACTGGGCCTCCTGCCTTGCTAGAAGTTATTGTCATCAACAGTCATAACTTCAGAACCTCCCAGATACCTCCCAGAGAGGCAGAAGCTGGCTCTGGAAACAGGCTGGAGCAGGGGTCTCTCTTCCACTAATACCAACAAAAATAGAAGCTGCAGACATCAAGTCCTAGCAGAAGCTTTATTTCCTTTTTTCATGCTGCAATATTAGACATTATAACACCAAAGATGTAAAAGGATTGCTACAAGCTATTGAAGTATACTCAGAAAATCCTTGGACAAGTAAAAGCTATGAGGAAGACTTAAGTGCAGGGTGAAAATGTGTTTGGAAAGAATAGCCATGAGCCACTTTAAAAAGCAAGAGGAAGATATCAGTATCAAAACTTTTACTGTGTGGGACGGTAGGTTCAGAAGAAAAAAAGAAAGAAAAAACCAAATGAACCAATATTCCTTCAATGTAGTAATTTTCTGTTCATGAAACTCCACTACCGTTCAATAAGGTTCCATTTTTCTCCCAAAGTTTTTCTTTCACATTCTGTAACTTAATACCTTTTTTTCCAAAAGCTTGTATTTCAAAAATTAAGTCTTCTCATTCTTCATAGAGACTTGTGCTCAACTGGATTTACGTTTTTCTGCAGTGAGGTTTACCCCACATACCCCTTCATGCTCTCTTTTCCTGGGTGACAGATCTGAAGGAATACACCTGCTTGTCTGTGCATTGCTATGCATCAAAACTCTGAAAATGGGAAGTAGCCAGGATTTACAGCCACAGGTCTTCTGGGACTTAATAAAAGAGAACTCTTAGAAAGAGAGACACAGGAGCATCTAAGCTAGCACAGAGAGTGAATTTCACTATGTTAGGTTACACCTTTATACATAATCTAACCAGAACAGAAAAGAATAGTTCCTGAGAATCTGAGAATGAGGAGCTCTT